GAGCCTTGATTTCCTCATCTGGCAAATGGGTACAATGACAGGACCCACCTCACTGTGCAGGAATGAGGATTAAATTCAGTTCCTAAAAATAACACATCAGGCTCAAGTGGGCCTGGTGGCTCCATTTAACAAGGAGAGGGCGTGGGGCGGGGGGCTGGCTGTGGAGAGCTAGCATCATGGCATCTCTCAGGAGAACTTTCAGTCCTCATCAGAGAAATAAAGAAATGGAACCTTCCATGTCTAGCCCTGTAGGCCCATCCTCTCTACACCCCACGAGCCCCTCTAATGCCACTCCTTTCCATGAGACTTTAAGTTTCTTGAGGTCAGGAACTTAATATTCCCCTTAATTCTCTGGAACTTGCACCCAGAAACTTGACAAAATATCCGTTGGTGAAGGATCAAACGGGTGGACTTCATGTTTTTCAAAAACATCATGTATGTTTTTAAGAGCCCATTGACATGACAGTGGTCTCCTGACAAAGCCTCAGGACTTTTTAAACTTAATCCTTGAAACTTCACCCGGCAGGCTCTTTAGCCACAGGGGAAACTGAGGCTCGGAGAAGTGGAGCACCCTGCCCAGAGTCACCCAGCTGGGCGCTGGCAGGCGGGCGCTGGGACCTAGTTTTGTGTCACTCCAGGGCTGCTGTTTTGCTCTTCCCGTTTTTCCTGCCACCTGCCTTCCGCGTAATTAAGTGATAATGAATTCGGTTCCCTATTTTTGTTATTTATCAAAGCTATAAGTAGCTGTCAGTCAAAGCATCTATTCAGCAGGAGGAAAGGAGGGTTCTCGTGCTGGGTCCCCATCACTCCAGCCCAAAGCAAGAGGGCTGTGGCCAGCGTGCAGGCGGAGCAGCTCTGTGGTGGGGGGCGGGGGGCAGGGAGGGGGTAAGTGGAGGCAGCCAGTGGCTTTTGTGGAGTGACCTCCATGCCAGCCACTACCACCAGAGCTGGGCACGATGAAGACAGGAACTTTGTAAGTTCTTATTTTGTGCCGAGCACTGGGTTAAGCACTTCACAACCCTGTGAGGTGGGTGCTATTATTCTCCCGGTTCTAGTGGGAGGAAAAGAGGCTCAGAAGGGTTCAGGTGCCTGGCCCCCAGGCCCAAAGCTGGGATTCCAACTCAGGGTGGCAAACTCCAAGGGCTCTGCCTTTAATTACTAGTCTCTCAGGAAGGACTGGGGCGGGGGTGGGGGGGAGATGCTGTGAGCATCAAGAGTCTGAGGAGACACCAGCGAGGCGGAGCAGGTGGGGAGGTGGGGAGGCGGGGAGGGCAGGGTGGGAAGAAGAGAGGGAAGCCTGCCGCTCTGACACAAGGGGTCATGAGATGAAGCGGCTGGGGACGAGGTTGGGCAGGGCAGGGAACTAGGGCATCTTCCTCGGATTCCACGGCAGGTTCAGAATTACACGGCCACCTACCTCTCTGGCAGGTATAGGCTTACAAACCCCTGCAGAGCCCCACGCAGGCTGTTGCCAGCCCAGAGGTAGCCCCTTGCCTGGAGGGTTCAGAGGCAGCCCTGGATGGATGGGCAGACAGAGGTGGGGAGAGGGTGGGATTAGAGGTGATGCATACAGCCTGAAGCCACAAGGAGAGGGAGGACTGAGAGTCCAGGTGCCACCAGGTACCTGGCATCAGGCCAGAGCTTTACGTGTGTCAGCCCCCGAGACCCACCCTAAGAAGCAGGGACCACCCTCCTTGTAAAGTCCTGGGCCTCAGTTTTCTCTTCCGTAAAACGGGGAGAAGGGCTGGTGTCCACACCTGCGGTCTCTCCTAGCTGGAAACTACACGGCCGCAGCGTGAGGTCAGCGATGGCAGAGAGCCAACCTTCCCTCTGTCCCCTCGCTTCTCCTTCCATCTTGGTCCTCAGGAAGTATCTGCTGATGAACACTGGAAGTAAGAACCGGAAGACCCTGGAGAAAGCAGTCCTGCCATCCAGAAGGGCTCAGGACCCCTCAGAAATGAGGAGGTCACTGCTGAGTCACCTTTGGGAATCATCAGATACAGCCTGCTCCTTTTACAGATGGGAAGACTGAGCCCCAGGGGGGGCAGGCAGACTAGGTAATGCAATGGCAGAGACACGACAAAGCCCTGCTTCCTAGCTCCTGGCTTCCCAGTTCCCTCTGACCTCTCTCGTCTCCTCCACTCTGCTGTGCTGGTGGACGGCTTCCCAGGAGGGCCAGGCTCCCCTCCCCTCTGCCATGGGAGCAGGAGATCACAGCGGAAGTCTCTCAGCAGAGCCCTGGCTGTGATCCTTGGGCCCTGCTTGGACCCAGGAGGCAGCAGCCTGGCTTGGACAGCAGAAGCAGAACGGAGGTTTTGTCCTCGATGAGAGCCTGTCTGTTGGCTGTTCACAGCCGGGACTGGGCTGGGCTGGGCTGGCACAGTGAAGCCTTGTTTCCTTGAATACAAAACCTGCAGCTTTCCATCCTCGTCAGGGCCCCCGGCGGGCGGCACTTCCTTCCCTAGAAGTCCAGCTCCCTGCCCCCTTCCTGCCCCCCTCACCCCTTCCAACGCCCCGGCAAGCAGCAGTGGTGCCAAGAGGAGGCTTGTAGGAGTTCAGCTCCTCTCAATCCTCATCAAAGTACTCCTCGTCAAACTAACACCAAAAACAGCCTCTGCAAAAAGTGAGCTCGCTCCGCAAACACAGCTTCAAGACCATTCCCCTAGTCACGCAGCCCTTCCAACTGAGCAGGAGCCCCCCAAGGCCCTGCTCATTTGGCGTGTCTGGGTTTTCCAAACAGCTCTATCTTTTTTGGGGGCAGGAGTCAGGATGCTGTGGGACCCCAAGAGGAGGAGGACCCTGGTAGCAGAAGATCAGTCATGAACTCAGAAGCGGGTGTTAGAGGAGTGTGCTTCCCCACGTGGAAGCAGGTATCTGTGATGGGAAACCCAGAAGGGAAGAACATGGGTTCTGGAGTCACAGACCTGGGTTCAGATCCTGGCTTCATTATTTTCTAGCTGTGTGGTCTTGGCAAGTTACTTAACTACTCTGTGCCCAGACTGCCCAACTGCACCACAGTGATGATGATGGTTCTATGTCACAGGGCTGCTGGGAGGAATGAATGGCGGAGCTCCTTAGTCCCTTGGCACTTGAATAACCTCCCTTGCATTACTCAGGGCTGGGGTGGGGGCAGGCTCTACAAGGAAGTTCCTAACAGACCTCTGTTGGGGCTGGAATCCTTGAAATCCTGTTCTCCCGACATCTCCAGTCTTTGGCCAAGAAGAAACTTGAGAAGAAGTCCTAGCCAAGACCTTGGAGTCAAAGAAGCAGGCTCCTCAGGGCCCAGGGGTCTCCATGCAGAGCCCCGGAGTGGGGTTAAGGACTGTTTCCCCCTGGGCTGACCCTCAGACAAGCCATCCAGTCCGAGAACCAAAACCTCTTCCCCTGCATTGGGGCCAAATGCAGAAGCAGCAGCTGCAACAGGCAGTAAGAAGTGGGAAAGAGCCTTTCTCAAGCTGGGGGGGATTGCAAAACACCCCCTCCCCGGGCTTCCTGCTTACTGCCTGGGCACACATCTCCAGCCTGCCTGACCTCCTGCTCCAGCCAAGGTCTAGCATCCCTCCTTCTCACCCCTGAGCTGCTGGTCCTGGGAGTGGGGGGTTGAGGGTAGGTGGTAATCTCCTGACTCACCTAAGACTTGTCCTCAGGATAGCTCTATCTTTTGAATCCACTTCCAGATCTACTCCAGAGTACACCCTTGGGCTGTTTGCCCTTCCAGGGGCCAGGGGCCAGGGGCAGGGGGGATGGGCAACAGGCAGTAGATGGGGAAGAGTACCAAGGGAGGGGGGCTGAGCACCTTCACCCCCACCCCCACCACGTTTGTGCCTGGGGGGCAGTGTGGCTGAACATCTCAACTCCAACTGGATGAACCCAAGGATGGACCAGAAGGGGACCTGGAACCCTTTCTCTCTAATCACTTCACAGAGAGAGAAAGTTTTTTTTGTTGGGGGAGGGGTAAACCTACAGGCCTGGAAGTACCTGTCCAACCTGCTGAGGGCATGGGGTGTGGAGTTATATGATGAAGGCAGGGATGAGAGCAACCAGCCAAGTCAGATAGGAAGGGGTGGGGTGTCAGGGACCCTGTGTGGGGAGGGAAGCGGGGCAAGGAGTCGTGGGGCCTTCTGACAGAAAGCTGTCCGGCAGTGGCTGCAAAGCTGCTGGGTGTAGCCGGGTCCTGAGGGCAAGAGGAGGGAGGAACTGTTGTGGGGGGCTAGTACATACCTGCAGAGTAGGGGGGCAAGGAGGAAGGGGTCCCTCCCTAGGGAGATCACCTGAGGGTCAAGGATTGGGGTCCTGGCTAACCGAATGGATGGGAGTAGAGGTGGGAGGGGCTGAAGGGTCTCTGACCAATTTGCTGTCAGATGCTTAATAACTGGAGGGGGAGGGGTCTCGGCCCAGAATCCACGCTGAGGGGGATCTGAGATAAGCAAAGGAAATGAAAGGACCCCAGTGAAAGGAATGGTCACCTTTGTTGAGGCGCTGAGGGGTGGGGTGGGTGTTTTTGACCTGTGTTTGGGGATGGAGGTGGGGAATTCAAGTAGCTGGGGAGGGGGAAAGGGAGGTCTCGGGGTCCTCCATCTCGGCGTGCGCGGGTGCGGAGAAGCATCCCTAACAAGGCGGGGGTCCTAGGCCGGAGACCCGGAGTCTCCAGACCCATGTGTATGGTGGCAGTGGGGGCTCGCGGGGACTCATGCTCAACCAGAAGGAGCCGCGGGGTCCCTCACAACGTGTGCGCGCGTGTGGTGTACCGGGGGCAGCGTCCCCGTGAGGAGGGGTCGCGTGCCAGGGGCCGCGGGTCCCCAGACCCATACGCGTGGTGGGGAGGCGGTCCCGAAGCCTCGTGATTATCTGGAAGGGGCCCGGAGTCCCCACTCCTGATGTGTCGGGGTTCGGGGAGCTCGGCTGGCCACATCGGTCCCGGGACGGCGCGGGGTTCGGGCGCTCGAGAGCCGAGGCCGGTTCGCGGGGTGGGTGGGGGACCGGGTCGGGCGGGCACTCACTGCTTGAACATCTTCTCCATGTCCTTGATCTGCTTCCTGGAGAACTCCTTGAACTCGGTGTAGGGGTTGAAGACGCGGCGACTGGGCGACTGGGGCTCGCCGATGCCCTGGTTGAGGTCGGCGCGCCGCAGCAGCTTGGCGCTCAGCTCCTCGTCCGCGCTGCCCAGCGCCTCGGCCGCCTCGTCGG